ATTTTGTACAATTTCTTTGAAAATGATGAAAGATATGTCTGATTTGGCAGGGTAATGTCACAGCCAAATAGCAGTCACTCTTTCTGACACAGTCCGGATCGAAAGATGACGATACTCGTGAAATGTATTGATACTTCTAAATATAGGATCGTATCGAACATCCCTACTGTCAAGATGTATAACCCAAGGTACCGACGGAGCTATTTTGCGGCGTCATGGAAATAATTTTAAATTTTCATTTGCATTTTTTCAAGTGTTGTGCAATGATTTTGGGAAAAATGTCACAAATAGTCTTATAAAGCATAGTAGAGTATATTTCAACAGTTGGCGGAACTTACTCCACTGGGACCAGGAGGGTGAAACGGGATATTAATGCACAATCTGGCAACTCTGTCGCACCCTCACAAAATGGCCGCTGACAACCACACAAGTCACCGTGTTGTCATTGAATAGCATAGAATTAAACCTTCAGAGTATATGTTTTGTGACTGCTACCAAGAGTTGACACATCCCACACATGTGTCACGCCTTGAAATGCAATGTATTCAAATAATGTCTAATATAAATATAACCTAGAATGTGGCCAATTTGTAGTTTTTTTTGCAGGTTTTGGGATTGCTGGTTGCTTTAAGGCATATACCTATTTGAGAATTTCTTAATCGCTGTGAATACAGTGTGGATGTTTGTTCAGTTCCTGAACAACGAAAGATATTCAACTTTATGGATGTATGGATATCAAAAAACCTGAATGGTTTTGTGGGAATATCAATCTAAGGTGCCATAATGGTTCTGATGAACGGCAAGTAAATGAATGAATGTTTGGAAACGAGCAATATCTTTTGGTAGAGCCGGTCATCAAGTAGGTGCTTAATTGCTATTTTCAAGAGGTTTATATGAAAAAACACCCAGTATCACATATCAATTGAAGAAAGTAATAAAAACATGAATAAAAAATCAACAATAGTAATTAAAACATGAATTTAATTCAAAAATCAAAAATTTGTTAAAATTTTGACTGAATTATATGTAATTTCTTAATATTCAATAAGCTGGTGATGTTTCACTGACAAGTTGTCATCTCATACTTTGTCAGTATTTTGTTTTCAACATTTCATAGCGATTGGTTGCTAAAATTTGTTGATTGGAACTTGAAGCTCATTCGCTGTATCTGACAGTCTGTTACCCTATAGGTTGAGAATAACGGACTGTTGTTGGTGAAATTGGCTCTAATAAAAGCATTTAGATCATGTTTACTTCCCACGCCTTCTGGCGAGAAAAACTTGTACTTGATAGTTCCAGAGGAAGCGCCTTCGTGTTAGTTGGGAGAAACCAAGAAAGAAACTCCAGGTTCTATGAGTATATTTTTCATGTACGATTTAAATATTTATATATGCTTATAAATGACTAAACAAAGGACGATCAAAATATTATAGGATATTTTATGAATATTCTTGCTGTGGAAAGGTATCCCAATAAAAACATCATGAATGTTAGATTCCTAATTCATTTATACATGCACACCTATGCGATATCAATCGGCCGCAAAAACCGTTTTAAGGTTTTTTTCTATAAGACTACCTTCCATTTTCATTGGGACACACTGTATATTACAAGCAGACTGCTTGCTATTAAGCATTAGCATATCACATTCGAGGTAATGGCCATGACATGTTATGACAGCCGTCACAAAGTTTTGGGAACTTTCCAGTATGTATCAAGCTCTAATTCAGAAAACCTCAACGGCATATGATCCTACGAAGTTTCAGAAGTGGGATATAAATTCATATAGAACTCCACAAAGGTTAATTCCAGAGATAAACTCCCGCCACAAGACAGTTGCTATCCCTCCCACCAAACTTATTGATCCGAGAACAAATACCCGAAACGGTACCGGTGGCGCCACCCTACGGTGAAAATCCGTGTTTACCAGACGAATCAAGAGAGAATTCCCCAACGGTTTCATACAACAACGGTGCGTTTGGAAGTTCGATTTTCAGAGTTTGGATACTCTTGCACAGGTGGCGCTGTATGTCACGAATCAGACAAAGTGGTCCTAGTTAAACGAAACTAGATACTGTTCATATTAGGTCTATCGGATAGTTTTGACCGTTTGTGAGTTAGAACAATTTTTTTTCATACCTTGGATAAACTTTATGAAATAGTATATAGTTCATCGTTATTTACTTATGTCGCGTTGTCTACATGAAAGAGCGCTTGCTGGATATCGTCTTTGTTTCTATGTTGCTTACCCTACAGAAAAACCTTGTAACGACAAAATAGGAGTAGTCGAAAGGTGTTCGATCTAGGGTATGAGTATGAAGGATGTGATAGAATTTATCGGCCTATGGTTCTGTGTTCTTTTGACGGGTCTTCAAGGCGGTACCGGGTCTGACACTATCATTGGCGAAATTAGGGGTGGCATTGCCTCTAGAAGTTTAGGATTATCGCTATGCTACTGCTGCTTAAGCACGCAGCAGCCCCCCTTACTCTTCAATTTTCAATCGCAGAATAATCGTTCATATTAGGAAACTTGTAATAAGCCCCTATCAAACTTTGTTTAACACCCAAATTGAAAAATCCAGAGGGGTTAAATCTGGCGACCTTGCAGATCAACGGATTGGTCCGTTGATTCCTAGCCAATTTCCACGGAATCGCTCATTTAAGTAATTAGTTACAACCCTAAAGTTGTGGGCAGGGGTGCCATCCTGCTAGTATAATAAATGTTCGTTGTTCTGCAGATTTTCTATAAAATATTCGATATAATATTGCTAGCGCGCCTCAAATTTTTTTGAAATTCACCATAAATAATGAGTATGTCGATTTGATGATCTCTTAAGTAATACATTATACTTTGTAGCAGTTAACTACTAAATTGATTTCAAATAAAATAAACAAATAAAATAAAACATATTACACAATAAACGATGATGACGCGTGGAAACGAGACTGATTGTAGACAGTAATTTTAACGGCTTCCCCGTTCATTTGTTTCCAAAGCATGCCCAGATCTCCGTGAAAACCAGTGAAATATTGCTTCATGTTGATTATTACAATTCTGGCCTTTTAAAATAAAGTAAAAGAAAACAAATAAAAAATGAAAATCATAGATATTTTCTGTCACGTGCCTAGGTAAATACCTAATAACTGTGATTAAGTAATAACAAATACTAATTTTCTAATTAGTTAGAATGCATGATATATCTCTCCAAATTTTTCCTTATAGTAAACATTTTTGTAGAAATAAACCGACATACTTTATTATCGTATCTGTCATTCAAGTACCTCTCCTCTCGAATATTTCCACACTCCTATTTGTTTAATTGAATCTAACCTACCTGATGTCAAGAAATAATTTTGCATTCATATGCACTTAATATATTGAACATCAGCCTTAGAACTCAAGGATATAAATATTTTATTTATTTCGATATATCCTAAATAGGTTATTCAGAGTTACACAAGAATATCAGTGCTGGAGTACCCCAGTCAAGGATCTTAGGTCCAGTACTCTATCTTCTGCACATATCAGGCAGTCCTGATATGTAGCAGTTGCAGCATTTCCAGATTAAACAGCTCTGATTGCAACTGACACAAATCTATCAAGCTTTGTTGATAAAGCACAGACTGCTACCAATAACTCGTTGGAATGGACCAAGCGGTGTAAAATCAAATTGTACGAATTGAAATCGATCCAAGTTCGCTTTACCAACCGAACATTGACAAGTCCTTCTCAAATAAGCGTTAATGGCACCATCACACCATTGGAGTCAAATGCTAAGTAGAATAAGCTAGATGTGCGACCTCAAAAAAAAGAGGAAAGAACTGAACTTCTGCTACAAGTAGTATTATTCGAGAGTGGAAAGATCCCTAAAGCTATCGCTCCATAACCAAATAATAATCTATAATCAGATTTTAAAGCCATTGTGGCTCTATGGTTGTCAACTAGGGGGCTGTTCCAGGAGTTCCAGCATCGAATTTATTCAAATATTCCAAAATAAAATTCTGATTTGAATACCCATCTGGTTATCGACGAGATATAAAGTAGCGGCAAGGCACAAAAAAGGTTGCATCAACATTCCAATCCAAAAGCTGCTGAATAGTTACAATGCTGTCCGACAACTGAAGGGAACCCAACCATAAGAACTTAGATAGTGTTTTGTGTCTAAAGGTGAGCATTTGCGCAAATTGCTAATGATAGTATTAATTAAACGTTAACACTATCTAAAAGAGATCAATGGATTGCCTCTATTATTAGTTGTAAGAGGACACAAGAAAAGTGGTTGATCAAATTTGTCAGTTTTAATATTCGGTCATCAAAGCCACTCTAAAAACAAAAAAAAACCGCTTCAGGAAAATCTAATGTAATTCAACACAGAACCCATGACTGACAACGCCAAGTATCAAGTTAAGAACGTGTTGTAGTATCAGTCCTGATGACTGATACGTCACTATTGAAATAAATCAGTATCAGTCACAACTGAGAGATTATGCGGTCAATGTGTTATCAGAAATGTCATCGATCAAAAAAGGTCTCTCATAGCGTGGTTTACTATACAGTTCAAAATCATCCGTCTGACATTTACCTAAGCATACTCTGTTGAGAACTGCACCTTCAGTTAATGTTGCATCCACAACGTTGTATCGTGAACATTTTACACATGAAATGCGATCATTTCATGAAACGATCGATTTTACGGTACGGCCACGTCATCGCCAAGGTGTTTCGGTGAGGAAGGGCTCTTAATTTCCATACGAATCTTTTTCGTTCTTCTCCTCTCAGCGAGTCTCGAGCTCTCAAGGTCACAACATAGGTCAGCGTAATTTTCAAACAGTACCGATACTGTGCAATAGCAATATTCAATAGGCAGTACAGTTGCCTACCGATAGATAAGCATGATTCGGAAGCGTGAATGAACTTTCATGGGACATTTTCCATGACGTTGCGAAAAATCTTTAAAGTATGTTTAACAAGATCCACTTAGCGCTTCCCGTATACATAATTCATATTTTGCTTTCGAGTATAACAAATTATCTAAAGATCTAATCAATGTGCTTCATATGATTTAAATGTTCATTATGAAAATAATTCAGATGCGTACAGGTGAAAAAAATGTGGCAGTTCCAAGTTTGCTTTTTTACTTTGTTTTTTGGAGCTGCATTCTCCCAATGTGTCTATCCAAATCCTGCATCAAACTTGTTTCTGAAAAAACTGTTGGTATGTCATGTTATTTATTTTGTACATTACTATGTCACGCGTCAAGTCAATGTTGCCATTTGTACTTAGTTAAGTTTAAGATAATGAGTGAATTCTAAAGGAATTAAATTTTTTAATTTGGAAAAATGTTATTAGAAAATCACCAAAACCAAAAATAAAAAACCTGAATGCAGTAGCTGGAAAGAATAAATTTTTAATTGTGCTGTCAACACGAATCTAAGGATACCTCAAATAATGTCAAAATCCGTCAAGCCGTTTGGTCTGTAGTCGGTGAAATAGAAATTTGAACAACCGCCATCTTGGTTTTTGAAATTTTGGTATACCCAGTGGCACTCAAGCTGTGAAGAAAAATCTAGACACACATCGTATGTGAAAATCTATCAAGCCTGTGAAATAGAAATTTCAAACCTGATATTTTGGGTTAAATTCCGGACCTTTGATTTTATGAAATTTTAATATAGCCAGTGTCAATCGCACTGCTAAGACGGATCCAACAATACTTCATAATATACCAACGTCCATCAAGCCGTTTAAGCTTAAACCCCGTGAGCTACAAATTTTTTATTAGAATTCGCCGTTTTGTTTTCGTAAAATAAAATATAGCCAGTGTTACTCGCGCTGCTAAGACGAATCCAACGACACTTTATGTGTCAAGATCCACCAAGGCCGTAGGAATAGATTTTTTTATACGTAGATACATAACAACAAGAAAAGCTGTTTTCATTCTATTATCTTTTTTTTCAGTTAAATGGTAAAAATTGGTATGCGCAACAACGTTTTGGAGTCCCGACAGGTTTCATAACAGAAAAATGTTGGAAAACTTCCTTTCATCTGTCGGACATCCATCTGGATACAACTGTCCATCCTTCTACTGTATATTTTGATGAAAGGTAAACTTATTTTAGCCCATATTACAAAATATTGACACGAAACGTTTCAATTTTTAGAAACAACAAACAGGAAACCAAAATTGTTGCAAATATTATAGGCCTAAAAAATAAATATTACATTCCTTATAACAATACGGGTAACGTACTTATTTCAAATATATGGTATTATAAGTAGTGAAATATATCTCATTGTTTTGTTTTCAGATTACATGTTGACTGATATCAAAATTACCCATAATTACGTTGTATCTCAAGTTTGTGATATGAGTAAAGGAAGATGTAAGTACAACTTAGATTTTTGTACCAAAATCTAATACCCAATCTAAAAAAGCTATATAGAATGTAATACAGGATTCATTTTATTATTATGATTGTTTCGCTACTGAAAAGGTATAAAATGTAGTCAAGTAATAAAATAAATCAAATCAGCCTTAAGCTACGTTTTCACGGAGCGTGATCCTCGCGTTCGTGGAATTGCCCTCGTCTGACTGAGGTGTCAGGAGTTCGCCCCTGACGACCGTTTCGCTAATATACGACTAAAATCTGAACAACAGAACTATTAATGAGAAACTCCCTCATAGTTGGATTCATAACATGAACTGAATAGTGATCGTAAGAACTTCCCACGGCCCTCGCTAGTTTACTTTCCACTCCTCACTCAAAACAAAAAAGAGATCAAAAACGTGACACGCTGTCGTCTTTTTGCTCCGAGAGAACGTAGCTTAATTCATCGAGCGCCACTGCTAAGGGGAGTTTACACTGGCATGTAGTGCTTGCGTAAGTTTTATTTGCATCCAACTTGCAGAAAAACTTGCAAATATAAACACTAAATTTGACGAAAGTTTAACTAGCAATGCGGACTTGCATGCATTTGTTGCTTTCGCAAATAAATTCTGTTTTGCCAGAAATAACTTGCGCAACTAACAACTTTCCCGAAAGCTCCACTTGCCCGCTAGCTGTACGTTCCTGTGTTGCAGACAACTACTACTTGTAAACAAGTGACGAGAGTGTTTGGTCGTGACGAAGAACTGCACTGACTGGACTTTAAGCAAGTTTCCCTTGCAAAGGTAGGTGTGTAGTGTAAACCTTAACTTGAATGCAAGTACACTTTGCATCAACTTGCATGTCCTACTTACACAAGCGCTACATGCAAGTGTAAACTCCTCTTTAGTGCGATGTACATCGTGAGATCGATGCGCAAGTACTAGGGTTGCAGCGGATAGTGAACTGCCCGGATAACCAGATAGCGGATATCTGGGTCGTTACTTTGGCCGGATAGCAGACTCGATCCAAAAGGTTCGTAGATGGATTTTCCACCTAGCAAGAATCGCGAAATATTTTTTGGAACTGATTCAACAACGTAGCGGAAGCAAACACCTTGGAACAAGAAAATTTCTCAAAAAAAAACTATTGCTAGAGAACTTTATACTCGTGTTTAGCTGAAAATGCCTTGAATTAAGCGAAGTGGCAATCCATTTTATGCATGAATTTTCAAAAGATGTGTAACCTACAAATTCAGGTGACCAGAAGAATTTTCGAAAAAGTGTTGGCGTGTTAGCCTTTTGTTTCTGTAGAAATTATACATCTGAATACGTGGCCTCTCAGGAATCTAACCCAAGGAGGTGTGAGGGCGGGAGCCATGAAATCTAACACCCAGAAGAGCAGCGGAGATTAGGCATATGAACCAAGTGATATACGTCGTAATTGACGGGATCTCCTCCTCGTCCCACAACGTCAACGCGGGTGTTCCCCAGGGATCGGGCTTAGCTCCGACACTGTGAGCTTCCTCTCTGAAGAGCAACGTGGAGATTATCACTGCTTGGGGACGCAACAATCTTGTACATTACTTATTGCTTCCAAGACACGGTGCTGTACCTTGACGAACAAAAAGCGTCCCAGCGCTGATTCGGTTTCGATGTGACACAAGTCGTCAATAACCGCAGGTGCTGGCAAAGAGCTACGCTATTTGTTTAGGGCTAAGAAGTCATTTTCTCCACATCTCCATACTCCATACAAGGCCCAGATAAGACCTAACCTCGAGTATTGCCCGACTTCGGCCTCCCATCCTACCCGTGTCGAACTTCGTACACTAAAAACTGGCCGAAGCGACCGTCCTTTTGTTCCTAGGATGTCCAGATTGTGGAATCATCTACAAGAGGAGGATTTTCATTATTCTACTAATCTTAGGCAGTCCAAAAATTGGATTAACAAAACTTCTTTGGATTCTCATAGCAGCCGTGTAGTCCTGGCATTTAGGCTTCTGCCTGCGCGGCTGCTTCTGTGTAAAAAAAGGAATGATACACAGAGAGTGTTTTAACCGTAATAACGAAGAGGCACCTGCACAGTCTTGTTTGTGCTGAAGGTTAGGGAAAGCTCGCGTACTCGACAGGGTAATAGTTAAAAATCTAGTCATAGCATATAACCTGTACATACTACGCAGGTGTAAAAGTTTGTGTGTTTAGGTGACTCAATAATATGTCGTGAAAATTTCCTTTAGTTTTACTTAATAGGTAGAGTACCCGCTAAGCATCTTTAAGTAGTAAGATCTGAGGGAACATAAGTATGTCGTTAAACCTTTGACCCCTGGAATTACCGAGTATTCAGTGTAGCTCGCAAGGAGCTCTTCGTAGGGGTTCTGGAAGAATGGAGTGCTGTTTCCGCACTATAAATAGAAACCTGGCGCCCGAGAGAAATGCGCATCTTTCCGAGGTCTAAGTTAGTGCCAGTTAGTCGATCAACCAGAGTAAGCTCGTTACGTTAGTTTACTTTGTTTTTTAATGCAGAAAAACGTTTTATTTGTCTTAGCTTTGATGTAGTGTTAGCTAAAACGTATTGGTTATTTATTTCAACTGACTGAAGGCTGATAGTAGCAATAAAAGTAAGGTTAGTATATTTTGTGGTTTTTGTTTTATTGCTATGCGGCTTTCGCCGGATACTAAAGCTAGTATTCGGTCATCTGGCTGCACAATAAATAGTAGCCCGGTAGACCCGATACCGACTAGTAACCGGATATTCGTTGCAACCCTAACAAATACACAGTCACACCGCGCTAGCAGTGGCGGACGATAATTTATCTATCTATCTCACCCATTTTGAAACTTGACATATTGTAATTTCCAGCGGAAGTGTTGATTTTTACGTCACAGAAAAGGCGTAATGTGTGGCTAATCCTTAAGGCTACCAGGGAAGCTTCTAAGTTTGTGAAGCTGCCATCTCCATCCACTAATACACAATGTGGAAAATATCCGTTTTAAAATAAATGAGTGCTGACAGTGCAGAAATAACTTGTGATTATGATTATCCTCAACACAGACATTTAAATAAAATAAAAAGAAATAACCATTTTGTATTTTTTAAGTTGCTATTTGACTGTATACAGGGATCGGTCAATAACTCCGTTATTACGCCAGGTTAATTACGAAAATGGTATCCAACAGTGTGCTTCTCACTTATGGAGATATGGAAAATACTTTTATCTCTACAGGGTGGTTCACAACTACATGGTGACCCAAAATACATATTTTACACCCTTACATTTTGATTTGATATGACATACCATAGGGTTTTATTTTCAAATTGTTGATATATTGGACAATCTATCAAAAAGACACACAGCTTTGAAAACTCGCAGCTCCACAGCTGTTTTTCGTCAAAAAGATTTACGATTCCATATTTTCTCGATCTCCTCCTTCTTTTTCAGTTTTTCTGATAGTTTATACAATGTGGTCAAGAATGCAAAATGAATAATTTCAAGAAAATTTTATATTTTCACAGTGTTTGATCCATATTTTCAGAAACTGTTTTGCTCAATAAAGGTTGTTTGTATGACTGACTGTGGAGCTATAGCTAACCTTTTTATAAAACAGATATAAAGGTGAATGAAAAAGATTCCAAAACGTTTCAAAACAAAAAGTTGTGCTTGGTTGGCAACGCCATGTTGTTACAATTTATATGTTTTTAATCTACCCAACCTTATGCAATGCAGTCGAAAAGTCAAGCTGTCCCTGTGTTTTTCGTAACCCAAAAACCAGTTATACAAGCTCCCATAAGCCTGATTTCAAAAAAGGCTTGTGGCAACGTTAATCAAATAATGTGAAATTATACAGGGTGCTCCACATTAAAACAACCCAAAAAACTGAAAAAGGAAATTGACATGGAAAAACATTGGAACAGCAGGGGTGCGAGTTGCCAAACTTGAGTATTTTTTGTTTTAATATATTGTCCAATATCTCGACAATTTGATCATAAATCTCTGTGGTATGTTATATAAAATTTCTTCGTCTGAGATGTATGTTTCAGTCGCCAGATTGTTATGAATCACCCTGTAGACACAAAAATATGTTCCTAGTCAGGAGTATACCGACCGTTGCCTACAGTTTTTGTATTTAATTTATTCAAATACCATGTGTAGTAACGGAGTTATCAAGAGAGACCATACTAAAGACTCACTCTGTATATAGTCGGAAGAAATAAGTTCTCCCCACATTAAGGAACATTTTAATGAATGGCAGCAGCGCAGTACAGCAGTCATAAAAAGATGGTAACGTCTCTCCAAACACGTTAATCAATGTAGGATTGCTAGTATTTGATTTCACTCTTTGTACGAGCATTATGTGGACTAAGACTGTGAGATTTCCGGAAGCACATACGATTCGTATGCAGGTTGCATTGTGTGTCGCAACGGATTTTGCTTTTATTAATGACCGGTAGTTCAATTTTGTAGTAGGTGACCAACCTAAATTAACTCAAACTCCCAAACCCGCCGTATCGGCCGATCGAATACAGTCCAGGAATATTATGTAATAATACATCTTTATTTCCCACTATACAACATAACATATTGTCTTATGATTGTGACACAAACAAAAATCTCAATGAGGCGTTCACGATGTGGTGCTCTTCCATTCAAAGCTTGTTCATATTAATATTTTGTTAAATTTTGGACTAAACTAACGTAAAATCATAGAAATAAAAACGAAACTTATTGGATCACCTGTTATACAGTCGTCCTTAGAAATGTATAATGCGGAGGTATGGAGTTATAAAGTTTGTATACATTAAATTCAAAACATCTTCCAAAAACGGTTGTCCTGTGTGCTGGCGCTGCAATTTGATATTTATTTGGTATTGAGATCATTCAAGTCCAATCGGAAGAAAATTTTGTTATAAAGGTATAGAGGTATAATTATTTCAGGGAAGCTTCGATCTTTTATACACAATCATTGTAAATCCTTCAACTTATATGTCACGTGCTGTTTTTTCCTAATCACAAAGTTGTTGAATTCGATTCATGATCTCTTGGTCAAAGCAACGAGCATATACTCAGGAGCACAATGGTTGAATCGTGATAAAACCAAAGTCTTCCCGTATGTTCTGAATAAGACCCCAAGAAAGAAGAATCTGTGGTTCCTATACATCTTCAAATTGCGTAACAAAAATGATCGATAATGAATAGAATAGAATATGGCACATAGAAGAACATAAAAATTTCGGGATGTCTGAAATAGGAGAGAGGGTAGATTACCATAAGTTGTAAGAATTAGATTTCTGGTGTTTTTGAACCTTTCTTTGGATTTTGTTTGAACCTAAAGTGCAACCTCACTGAAAATACAGACAAATCGATTAAAACAAAATACGACAGACAGGCAGAAATAGGTCAGTCTTTTAATGATTTGGAGGATAACCATATCAGAATAGAAACAAAGTATAGAAATCATGATACCGCATCACTATGAAAAAGTAGAAGCAAATTAAAATTTCACCAGACTATTGATAATGAATCTTCCATTCCCACATGGCGTGCCTGTCACATTAGCGGTTCGACTGGTGGCCGATTGTGAATGGTTTGTGCGATGCCACTACAACTGGTCTACTAAATCATTCCTGTCAGGACTCAGAGCTTTTAAAATGGCAAATTCTCTATTTCCAACAGTAGGTACTGAATCAGGGCTTCGAACAACTGACGTAACAATCGACCAAAAAGATTAGTAAAATAGCATGTTGCTGAAAATAAAAAAAATTTATTCATTAGCATTGTAACATTTGAAGTGACATACGAGAATTTCAAGGTGGATGAAAGGATAGATTGCAGGCCCATGTGTTCGGTTATTTTGAAGCTACAGTGTAGCTAATATATAACTGAATGATTTGTGTCTCCGGGATCTTTATAATCAAATGAACTCAATATTTTATGGAAAAATCTGAGTTATAGTAAATGCCCACCTTTGGATGCTGCACAGGCATGAGCTTTCCTTATATCACCTTTCCACAGCTTTTTCGGTTTCGTGGGGAATATTTTGAATAGTTACCCCAATATTTTTTCAGCTCTAATATCTTGATTTAAACAATTTCAACAGAAAGAAGTATCAAAGTGTCAAATCTTGTAATCTTGGAGGCCAGAGACATCGCCTAAAGGAGAGGAACAAATGTAAGGTGCGATGACCCGCTGCAGAAGTAACCTCAGCATAACGCAGCAGCATTGAGAATATTTAATCCCCTCACCAGACGATACGTAATCAAAGCCGTGAGCTGCGCGGGTTAGAATCTCGCCCTAAGAGGGTTTTTTCTTGACTCTACCGTGTAGGTACCACCTGGCGGATCTCTAAGACGGGGCCAGAATGAAAGCATGTCGCATGCACTCGTGTTTTCTCGCTAGAGTTTGAGTCCCATCCATCTCTCTATAGCCCCACGGTACCCACGGATATTTAGGCCATCGTGGTGGTTCATGCACAAAAAAATCACTAGTTTTAACGGCTTCATAGTTTATTCAGTGGGAACTTCTGAAGAATTAGACTTATGTCAACAAATGCAGCTGTATAAAGTAGCTAAAAGGCAATATTTAAAAGGCTATTTATATACTCGTATATATATATATAAAATACCCAAAAGTAGCAATCTCTCACTACGTCGCCATTACGTGTCTCGTTTCCGTTGGTATTGGTTGTGAGGTTATACTGCTTTGTTTGTCGTCAAGTGAATCAACAAACCCGCCGATTGAGAAGTGCGCTAGGTATTTCGATCTTTAAACGTCAAAAAAGTTCTTTTTGCTGAAATGCACCGGCAGCTTGTTGAGTTCTGCTCTCTAGCAGCGTCGTTGTACTTCACGACAACGCTCGGCCCCACGTTGCGAAAACGCAGACTCAAATGGCTTTGTTGAGAATTACTGGATAATCCACCATACAGCCTTGACTATCAGACTATTATCTTTTTCCAAAACCTAAGGAATTTCTTGGTGAAAAGCTCTTGGAAAGTGATGACATGTTGAAAAAGACAGTTACCAATGGGTTTAACGGCCAAGCGACAGCGATCGACTGGATACAAAAGCTGGTGCCGCGACTACACAAATGCTTGACTGTTTATGGTAACTATGTTGAAGACCGAAAAAATGTTCATATTTCAGTTTATGTTATGATACAATTTACATTCATAAAGTTTATCCGACTCCATTCTAAAATGACTTTTATTTAAAAATGACCCTAGTATATTGGCGACCCTGAGCTTAAAATAAAAATAATAAGCTACGAAGTTTCAAAAGTATATATCACATGCACCCCATTCCATTAAAAAAATTCAGCTCGATGACAGCCGCCACCTTGCAATTTTCCAATCTCATTTTTACGTTGAGAAATGGTATTCGTGAATCAATTTCATCGTACCGAATTTCAACTTGCTAATTTGATCCGTTATAAATGGCTGGGGAGCATTAATGGTGAGCACTACATATCCTACCTATTTTGCCATTCTACTATGATTCCGAGGACACTATCCTACACAGCAAACGCAGAACATGAATATCCATTTCCGTTGTGTATGCTTTGGAGCTCCGCAGCTTCGGTAATGTTCTTATTCAGCTGCAGCCGCAGGTTTTGAATAATTTAGCGTCTCATCATCAGCGTGTTTACACCGACGACCGGCGCAGTAATCATTTTCTCTTTGATGTAGCGTAGTGTCATGTCGCCCCGCTTAAATGTAACTTTTGTGCGGAGACACTGTTCGTTGGTAATTCAACGGAAGGTTTTCTTGTCCGTAGCTCAGTTGGTGATGAAGCAAGCGTTGCCGTTTTTGTTATATACGCCGTCTATGCTATTCTATGTAAGTACAGCTAACTGGCATACGTAACCGTTCAGGGTTGTACGACTAAAGAGGTCTAACCTTTCATGTAGAGGGTGATTCTGGAAAACGTGCCATAAAGTAGATCTGAACAATAACAAAAAGGTCATACAAACATGGTCCTAAAGTGTCCGAGGTACAGTGTGTTGAAATTTTAATTTCGGAACAACAAATACCGGATATGTAACTGACTGGTTTGTATTTTGAATATTTGTGAAATGAAATAAACT